AAAAAGGAAAGAAATTACTTCTCTATATGTTCTTTTGTTGGGGGGGGGGAACTGATTAACTATTCAGTGGTGCACTTTTCCCCTAGAAAAGAAGTTACAGAAATACTTGGTAAAAATCAAAGCTCTTTTCTTTTATCAGAGACAAATTAATTTGATCTCTAGAGTTTGGGATGAAAAATACAACTGAATACTACTGGATAAAGAATAAAAAAAATAGTTGGGACATTTAAAAATTATACTATCCTTTGATATGAAGGTGCTTTGCAAGGCTTAAAACACAATATAAAGAGGAGTTATTATTATTGTTTGATAGATGTAAAGGACTTAGCACAGTGCCTGACACATAGTAGGTACAGTAAAAATGTAAGCCATTATTATTTATTATTATCTGTAAAATGGGGATAATAATAATACAGACCTCCCAGGGTTGTTATAAAGATCAAATGAGGTCATTGTGAAGTGCTTAGCACAGTGCCTGGGACATAGCAAGCACTATGTAAATGTTAATTATTATTATTATTACTGTCCTCATCTGTAAAATGGGGATAATAGCACCTACCCTCCACAGTCGTTATGAGGACCAAATGAGATAATAATTATAAAGCGCTTGGCACAGTGCCTGGCACATAGTAAGTACTATATAAACGTTAGTCACTATTATTATCTATAAAATGGGGATAATAACAGCATCTACCTCTTAGGATGGTTGTGATTGTGAAGCACTTAGCCCAGTGCCTGGCACATAGTAGGTGCTGTATGAATATGATCCATTCCATAGAGTAGATATGACTAGGTGCTCCCTGCCTCTCCTCCCCCAACTTTGACTCTTCTGCAGTGTTCCATCCTGGGTCCATAACTCCTCCACAAGGGATCTATTCAACTTGCTAGGGGGCTTTTCTCTTGGCTAGGGGCTCTTAATCTGAGGCCTCTGATTTAAACAAAACAAAAATTTTTCTGACAATTGTATTTGAATAAAATAGGTTTCCTTTGTTGTCCTCCCTATTTGACTGTATGCATTAAAAAAAAAATGTGATTCTGAGAAAGGGCCCAAGGGCTTCGCCTGATTTCCATGAAATACCAGAAGGTTAAGAATCACTGCGTTCTAGGTCATTTAAGATTTCATGGTCAACACTGCCATGTAAGCTGGGTGCAGTGGCTAGAAAGTTGGACTCCCAAACCAGGAAGAGCTGAATTCAAGTTTTACTTCTGATACACCCATTGTGATCCTTGGTAAGTGCCCTCGGCAGCTCTCTAGGACTCTAAGCTGCCAACATGCCCTGGCAGAGGGAGTTGCTTTTTCCAAGCTCCTCATACCACTGATGTCCCTAGGACAATATGTCGAGCCTAAGATGCCCCTTTCCTGTCACACAGGTCTGGGCTGTAACCGCTCTTACTCCTGGGATATCAAACCTGAAAATGGTTTCAAGGGATTTGAGTGAAGAAGTGTGTGCTGAGTACAAGTTAGATTAGAGGAGACAGAATGATGAGTATTTGTATCTTCCTTTAAGACAGAACAATGCAGCCCCTGAGTTTGTCAATAAAACATTTAAACATTTCAGCTTAGCCTATGAAACAATGAGAGAAAGCACCCAGGCAGCTCAGTGTCACAGGAGATAGAGCATTGGGCCTTGGAGTTGGGAAGACCTGAGTGCAAATGGTCTCAGACACTTACTAACTGTGTGACCCTGGGTAAGTCACTTAACCTTGGTCTGCCTCAGTTTCCTCATCTGTAAAATGGGGATAATAATAGCACCGACCTCATAGGGTTGTTGTAAGGACCAAATGAGATAATACTTGTAAAGAGCTTAGCACAGTGCCTGGCACACAGTAGGTTCTTAAGAAATATTAGTTATTATTATTAGCTATTAAAAATACTTCTTCATTGAGGTCTCTATTTTGTCTTAGTACTTCCTCATTTAATTGGAGGATATAAGAAGAGTGAAATAAAGCTGCTTCATTACACATTTTCTTTGTACTGTTCCTATCTTCAGGAGCAAAGGAGCTACTCAGGGCTGCTGTCCTACTCACAACCAGTAGAAGTAAAAAAAAAAAAAAACCAACAAAACAAACCTTCGTATAAGATGGATCAAAATATCTTCCCATTGTTAAATCCTAAAATTTTTAGAGCTGGAAAGGGATCTTAGAGCTTATCTATTTGAAGCCTCTGATTTTATAAAGGAAGAAAGTAAAATGAAACTCAAAATAATTTCATAGGAATCTATGTTTCCTCCAGACAACCACCTTTTATTAAGCACCTACTGAATGAGAAGCACTGTGCTAGCCACTAGAAGGAGTACAAAGTTTTAGGTCATACATTTTCTAAGCAGTGTTTTAAATTCCTGGGAGGAACAAAGTATCATGCCACAAACCTCCTCTGTACTCCCCAGATAGTCATGATAATAGGCTTATCTGGCCCCACGCAGTAGTTGGGTAAAGAGGAAGCAGGGCCACACAGAGGAAGGAGAGCACTCAGCAGCACATGAAGATTACAACATTAGCCCAGAACGGAATATGAGGTCTTATTCAACTTTTCGCGTGTTCCATAATTCAAAAAAAAAAAAAAATGGACAAAGGAGAGATAGGGTAAGAAAGTGGGCAGGAGGTGGGGGAGGTGAGGATAAGAACCAATCTCAGTGACCTAAGATCCTTTGGTTTGACAGCACTCATTAATCTTTATGGGGTCTTTGAGTCACAAACTGCCACAAACATTATGAAAACGGGTGACATCTGTTTCCTTTGGTATGAAAACAACAATTTGGAATTGATCTGATCTACGCTTCAACTGCCACCTACCAGGCGCCAACTCTATTCAAAGATACAAGCCCTTAAAGCCTCATTTTATGTTGCAGAGGGGGGAAAAATCATCTTGCCCATTCCACATTAGTTTCTGATGAGTAATCAGAGCCAAACAGTTTAAAAAGGCAAAAAAACCCCCCAAAACCAAAACCCAAACCCCAACAACCAATTGACCACCATTTTATTCAGCCTGTGTTGAACTAGGGACATCAAGGAATACAAGGAGTGTCTATTCTAACAGAGGCAATGAAGGGATATGTCTATATCAGTGAACATATATGTGTATATAGGGAATAAATGTAAAGAAAATAAACAGAGTAGTTAATTAAAAGGTAGTTTGAGAGGGAAGATGGAAAAGTCCAGGAAATAAAGGGGCTTTGGCATTCTGTTTTCTTTAAAACTAGAATATTTAAATATATACTAATATAATACACACACAAATGAAATATTATAATATATAAACACGTACTAATATTTAAATATAATACACAAATACATACTTACATAAAACATAAATATATGCTAATATTTAAACATATTAATATAACATACAAATGTCAACTTATAAAATGTGACAATATATAGATATGTACTAATATTTAAACATTTACTAAAATATTTAAAACTAAGAATATTTAGCTTCTGATTACTGAATAGAGGGGGAGATAATGAACAGATATAAGGGAGAGCAGTTTAAAAAGGTCAAAGGAACAACTAAAGGCATGGTATTATTATTTTACCAGTGTGTGGGTCTATCTTCACCACCTGATGTACACAAATAGCATTTAAAACTGAGACAATCTTTAATGTAAATTACTAGTGGTCTAGCAAACAAGAACTAGAAACAGAAAAATATTTCCCCCAAATGTTACCTTTTCTATCAATTTCTTCCTAAGGCTTCTGTCGGCACCTATTAGACGCTATTTCGTCACGCTTTAATTGCAAAGTATGATTTCTAACTTGCTGTTCTCCTGATTCAACTCTGTTTTTCTTAATAAACCTGTCCTGCAGGATTCTTTCTTTCTACACTTGTTATTTTAATTCCAGACACCTTTTAAAAGCCCAACACCAGAAACTCTCACCCCTCCATCCAGAGGCATCTGGCTCAGTCCTTGAGTCTTTCCTTCAGTTGGAGAACGACGTAAGGAGAGGGAAATCGAACTTCCTCATCACACGTTTTCTTTAGACTGTTCCTCTCTTAAGAGTACAAAGAGCCTCTTGGGGCTGCTGTCCAACCCACAATGAGTAAAGAACTAGCAATCTTCTTGAGTTGGGTGAGCACAATTTGTCAAGCAGGGCTCTATCATTTCTGCATCTCTCCCAAGATGGTGAGGGTATATGGCAGAACCTCATGCAATTACCACCGAAAAGGTCCTTCATCTTTTCCAGCAGCAGATGCTTACTATGTGACCCTAGGCCAGTCCCTTAACTTCTCTGTGCCTCAGTTTCCTCGAAGAAAATAGGGGTGATAATATGACCTACCTCCCAGATACGGTAGGCACTAAGCAACTCCTCCCTCCCTTACTTCCTTTCTTCTTTCTTTCCTTCCTCCATTCCTTCCCTCTCTCCCTTCCTCTTTTTCCTTTATTTATTTATTTTTTCTTCCTTTCCTTCTTCTCCTCCTCCCTTCCTTCCTTCCCTCTCCTCCTTTCCCTTCCTTCCTCCATTCCTTTCTTCACTCACCTCCCTGCCTTCCTTTTCTTTCCTCCCTTCCTTTCTATTTTCCATAATAATCCATAATCACTAATTTCTCAAGGGTTCCAGATAGCCTAAGTTTTTACTGTTTTTGTTTTCTTTCCCCATCCTGGAGGAGTGGGTAGACAGTTGGCACTGAAGCCAGAGGGAAGTGGCTTCCACTTTGACCTCTGACACATACTGGCCATGTGACTCTTGGCGAGTCATTTTATTTCTCCAAGCTCCAAGCACTCTTCACAATTCTAAACTTCGGAGAAGATGATGACTTACGTTAGCAGAGGGAGTTTCCACCTGGGAGTTTTGTATACTAAGTGAAATCACAGGCAGAGTCCCTATCTCTAGGCTTCTTTAAGTGTGTGTGGTCTTTGATTGCACCTCATTTAAAATCCAATTAAATATTTGAATTGTAAGGACTTCCCCAACGCCTCTGCAAATAGTGCTGGTGCTAAACAAAACTGCTAAGTAGGTGAGCTTTGACTTTGGAAGGGCCTTCTGCTCCCCAGACTTACCTCAACTTTCTCATCTGCTCCCTACCTCTTAAACTCCCATCTCTTCATGGTGCTGGCCAGGTTATCAGAAGCCCAACCATCTGTTTAAACACAAATTAATTGAATAATTACAGATAACTGAGTAATGTGTTTCGCCCACACTTGCATTGTTAAAAGAGGCTATTTATTTTATTGGAATAAATCTCTAACTGATGGAATTCCAGACAATAGGAAGTGATGTTTTGGGGGTAGAGGACCTTCCCAATCCTTGTAAATCATACTATCTGCTTTTACTTTCTACAGGTGGGTCCTATCAGTAAAGTCCCACAATGGGATTTGTAACCCTTACACATCTGAAAGTTTTGTGGAAGCAATATTTCAACAGATCCCGGAGCTCACAGGCCTGGGTACCTCTTCCACTGCTGTGGATTCCAACCCAATGCATCCAGGTCTTTTCCTGTGATGGGATACTTATCTGTGACTTTCCATACATCCTTCATAGAGGATCTATCATCTGGGAGCCATCTCCAGTCATCCTGATCTATATCTGGCCACTGGACCCAGATGGCTCTGGAGGAGAAAGCGAGGCTGGTGACTATGCACAGCCCACCCTCACTCAAATCCAATTCACTTGCAAGTCATGGCATCACCTTCCTGATGTCGTGGTCCTCTTCCAGAATGAAGGACAAAAACAACAACATCTATCATTCAACATGCCGGAGACCTTCCCTGGTTCTTTTAATATTTTGTGGATGCCAGTGCAGAAGCAATATCCTCTGGAGATATCACAGGGGCAACAAACCGTTTCCAGTTCTGAAGTCTCCCATCTCAGTTCCAATAGCTTGTTTTACATTTCCTTGGACCTGAATGAATCAAGCTTTGTAATTCTGAGCAATGGGGTTCTTCATTTCACTGACTACTCCAGCCCACACTAAGCTCTTCTCCAAATGGCTTTGGATGGCCTGTTCCACCCCTTCTAGCAATCACACATCCTTCCTTAGGTAGTTGTCTGCCTAAAAGGTGGGGCTCCAACTCTCCAGGGAGATAAGATAGGTCTCTTGGGTTGTTTGAGAACAATGGTCAATCTATTTGACTGGTAGAGTGCTAAATACATGGTAGATGCTTCATAAATAACCAGACTGAAAATCCATGGAGGATGGGGGCTACACCTGTGCTTTCACTGGTAGAAGGCATTTCCAGGGCAAGAAAATCTCTCCACCAGTGAAGGTTGGCAACTTCTCTGCAGCCATTAATCTTAGAGAATTGTTTATATCACCAAGAGGGAGAGGCGGGGAGGGAGAGAGGAAAAAAAGGAAGGAAAGAAAGGAAGGAAGAAGGAAGGATGGATGGATTTATTAAGCGCCTACAATCTGCCAGGCACTGTGCTAAGTACTTCACAAATACTGTCTCATTTGATCCTCACAACTACCTTGGGGTATAGATGGTATTATTATCTCATTTTACAATTGAAGAAACTGAGGTAGACAGAGGTTAAATGACTTGTCCAGGATCATACACTAAGTATGAGGCAGTAAATGGCTAGTAAGTGTCTGAGGCAGGATTTGAACTCAGGTCTTTCTGACTCCAAGGCCAGCTTTCCATGTTCTACAAAGATAGGCTGGAACCCAATGAGAGGACTTTAAAAGCCAAAAGGAAGCCTTTGCTGGTCCTTCCCACTACCACTCACCCAACCTTAGCTGTTAGTACCTTCTCCTCTGAGATGTAGTACCTTCTCCTCTGAGATGACCTTCCCATTTACTCCGTATACAACCTGTATGGACCTAATTATTTACATGTTGTCTCCCCTGAGGTCTTGAGGGCAGGGAATGTTTTTACCTTTCTTTGTATCCCCAGCATAGCTCCTGACACAGTAAGACCTTAATAAATGCTTCTTTTTCTTGACTGATTGATTTTATCCTGGAAGCAAGATACAGTCACCAAAACTTCTTTAGTAGGGGAATGACATGGTCAAATCTGGGCTCTAAAGTTCTAATTTTGGCAGCTGAGTGGAGAAAGAATTAGAGAGGGGAAAACTGAGGCAGGCCACTAATAAGACTCTACAGACAGGGGTGATCAAAGATCTGAACTGGGTTAGTGATTGTGGGAGTAGAGAGAAAGGGACAAATGCAAATTACCTCATAGAGGTAGAATCAACATGGCTTGGTATCTAATTAACTGCATACAGAAAACTTATCTTCATTCATTGATCTGAAGTTGGTACAACTGAAGCAACTGCTTTTGCCAAAGATATCTAAAGGCTGAAAGCTTCCAGGATGTGGACTAGGAACATTCCGCCATACTTGGTGCAAAGAGATCAAGAAAGCTAGCTTCTTTAGAAGCCATGAGCATATGTCACCATGGCTACTCTTAGCCAGGATTCCAGTTTACAAGCAGGTACTGCCATCACTCTATATGCAGACTAGACTGAATTGAAACCAATTAGAACATGAGGAGAGCCAGCTAGCAAACAAATCAGGATTCCCATCCTCCTTAGTCTTTCCTCCAAGACTACTTCTAGTTTATCCTGTATCGTTTATCCTATCTTGTTTGTTCATAATAATCTGCATATTGTCTCCCCCTACTAGAGTGGGTTCTCCTTGGGAGCACAGACTGGTTCTTTTTTTTTTTTTTTTTTTGCCTTTCTTTATAATCCTAGGGTACCTTGAACATAGTAGGTGCTTAATAAATGCTTTTTAATTTGACTTGGGGTCAAGATATTTTAGGGGATGAATACATAAAACATCCCAATCAGAGCCACTGCTAAAGGGCCATCTTGGAACTGACAGAAACCTGGAGGATGTATATGAATACATTTAACACTCCTAAAGTCAAGTTCACACTAGACAGTTGCCTGTTTCACTGGAACACTCCCTACTTGGTTGGCCATTTCAGGAAGTAGGCCAAGCCATAAATACAAGCAGAGAATGAACTCTGACCGCCTATGATAAGATTTCTTCTGTAAAAGATTGAGTCCTTCACACTAACTGTTCCATGCCAGGATGATTCTGCTGCCATCCCACTTGTGCGTGGGTTGAAATTTGCCATATCTTGGTGGGGGGGGATAAGATGATTTCTCAGGGCTCTGATGATCTGGGGAAAGGCTTGGATGGAGACAGTCTGCCTCCCTTTCAGACCCCACCCATGTTGTTTAAACTACTTCTGCTAATTACCTCATCTGCCCTTAATATTTGCCCTAATAAAATATTAATCAAGGAGGTCCACTATAGTAATAGAAAAAATCTCTCAAGTGCTTGTGTTAACATGTTCATTACTCTTCTCCTTGTCCTAATGATGAAATATTGTGGCTGTCTTTATTTCACTATTGTACTTAAGCCCATTACAGAATTTTAAAGCTGGAAGCCATCACTAGGTTGTAGCTTAGCTGCTTTAAAAATATTATGCCATCATTTTGAGTCAGGAGGAAAACATGGGCAAGCAGTCAATGAGTGGACTTATACAATGTCTGGTTAATATAAAAGTGCTATGTACCAGGCTACATAACATTGTTATAATATGAAATGGCTTTCAACTCACTTAATATAACCTGAACTTTCCATATAACCAGAGTTGGTAAAGTTAACATTTCCTCTGATATCCCCCAGAGATTACTATTATAATGCAAGAAATCAGAGGAATGATATATATTTTGGCCAGGAAAGACCTGAGTTTGAATCCTGCTTACTTTGTGTGACCTTGAGCAAGTCATTTACCCTCTCTTGACTCAGTTTCTTCATTTATGAAAAGGAGATAGCAAATATGTCACATGGTTGTAAGGATCAAATGAGATAACTTATAGAAAGTACTTGGAAACCTTAAAGTGTCACATAAATGCTAGCTATAATAATAGTAATCATAATTAATAATAATTGTTGTCATCATCATCACCATCATCATCACCACCATCATTCAGGATTCTAAATGTTGACCGTCAAGAAATAGTTATTATCCACAGAAATGTTCCCCAACAAGTACAATAAATGTGGGATATTTCCAATTAGCAATTTAAAATGAGAAATGAGCCCCAAGTGCTAGCAGTCCAGCTAATAATACAGACAGGGCAACTGAAGATGTTGGAGGTTCTTGGGTTTTTTGATGTGTATACATTATCAAGGCTGCTAACAAAGAGCTCTCTTTGGACAGGTTTGTCTGCATGCATGTGTTATATAACAAAGGCTTCTTCAGTGGCCTGTGGGTAATTTCGAGATACTATTTAACCAGAGGCAAAATCTAGGAAGGAAAGCCCAAATCAGTCATCACAAATCCAAAGTCCTGGAGCACTCCACCCTGTCCATACCCAGCACTCAACCAAAAGCCTTGAAAGACCTGCTAGAATTAATGAATATATATACAGTATCTGTTACATGCAAGACACTGGGGTAGGGGTATAATAAAATGTAAGCATCTTAATAATATGCATTTATATGACACTTTAAGGTTTGCAAAGCACTTTACATATTAACTCATAGTACACCACCAAGTGAAAAACATGATTTGGAATGAGTTTTCAGAATAAAAAATTTCAACTTGAAGTAAATGCTTGAAGAAGACTAATTGATAGTTCTGTAAAGAGCATGCAAAGACTGTGAATTATTAAATTCTAGGCTTACTTTCTGACTGGCACATGGTTGGGGGTAAAATCTTCTAGTCCCACTCATGACTTAACTTTTTCTCAGCATTTAAAAAAAATAATAATAATTTAGAGAACCTCCAACCTAGATGAAGCCATGTGTTGGTTAATTTTTTTAGCAGTGGTTTCCTCTTTGAAATGTTTAGATGGTGATATCCCCACTGATTTTTTTTAAATTATTGATACATTTTGTTTGGACACAACAATCAATTCCTAACAAATCCCAATTCTCCCCATAAATCACGTCCCCTAAGCCAGCTAAGAAAAACATCTCATAGGGAGATGGAAACTGACTCTCTAGGTCACTTGGCACTTTTACTGATATTAATAATAATAGCTAAGATTTATATAGTGCCTACTATGTGCCAGGTACTGTGCTAAGCACTTTTTACCAATATCATCTGATTTGATCCTCACAACAAGCCTGGGGTGTAGGTGCTGTTATTATCCCCATTTTAAAATTAAGGTTTTTGT